CGCCCTCCCTGACGTGCATGCCGAGGAAGGGCACCAGCTTCTCGCAAGGGGATGCCGAGGCTAGCCGCCATGGCCGCCGTGTGCGGCCCGTACATGCCGGGCCCCACCTTCATGCGGGCCGGCGGCGCCCAGTCCAAGTAGTCGTGGGCCTCGGGCGGGAAGTCGTAGTCCACCAGGAGCAGGTAGCACTCCGCCTCATCGTCCGCCTCCCAGTCCAGCCCCGCAAGGCAAGAGCCGTGGAGCCACCGCAGCCGCTCGGCGCCGCTCTCCGGCAGGGCCACGGGCTCGCAGGGCCCCTTGGGCATGGGGTGCGTCATCGCCGCCGGGCACATGGCGTTGAAGTCCAAGTAGGAGATCCAGCTGGACGGCTCCGCGGGAACGTAGTCCTCGCCCAGCTCAGGGTTGTTGGCCCGGGCGTACGGCTGGAAGATGCAGCTGAGACCTCCCATGATGGACGCCCGCACGTCTTGGTAGGCCCGCTCATCAGTGATGAGGTGGATCGGGAACTTGCGGGCCGAGTGCCTCAGCATGGCGTCCCAGGCGGCCCCCGGCAGCGTGACGTAATGGATCGGGTCGAGCCCCGACTGCGCCCTGAAGGAGTCCCGGTAGCTCTCCATGACGTCCGCCAGGGCCAGGACGTCTGTGTGGAGGTAGCAGTCGTGGAACTCCGTGAAGTGCGTCCACCCCATGGTCCTAGCGGTGTCAACCGCCTGCTGGTACTCCTCCTCGCCCACGGGCTTGCCGGCCAGCACGCTGTCGTAGCAGCCGCGCTCCCACACCGCCGGCCTCTGCCAGGCCTCGGGGCCGCTGAAGTGGTCGAAGGGCATGGGCAGCTTGCGCAGCAGGCAGTCCCACACCAGCGCCAGCCTGCTCCTGCAGCAGCGGGTCCTCCGCGACGTGGGCCCGCGCCTGCGACCGACTGCCCTGCACCGGGGCGCGGGAGGCAGCGGGACGTCTGCGGGCACCGCCGCCGCAGGGACTCGGGGCCGCATGGTGGGCCGCAAGGGCGCGCAGAGCTTCCGCAGCTCGGGGTGGTGCGAGGCCATCAGCGGGAAGAGCTCCGGCAAGGACCTGTGGCCGGCGGCGCAGGCCCGGAGGTCGTCGATCATGTTGGCCAGGGATGTCGGGAAGACGTTCATGCTGTCCACGAACCTCAGCGGGCCCCAACAAAGCTGCAGGCACTTCTCGCCCGACTTGGAGAGCACCGACAGCCTCAGGTGGCTGTAGTCCCCCTGCTGGAGCGCGGCCTGCGCGGCTCCTTGCCATCCGACCTTGGCTTTTGCCTGCGCCTTGGCCTCGGCCTTGGCCTTGGCCTTGGCCTTCGCTTTGGCCTTGGGCTGCGCCGCATCCTCGGAGCTGTTGTCGGAGTCGCTGTCCGCGTCCGAGGAGTCGCTGTCGGAGTTGCTGCCGGAGCTCTCCTCTTCATCCTGCCGCCCACGGCGGACCGGAGAGCCCAGCGACGCGATGTAGCGCAGCAGGAAGTGGAAGTCGTAGCCGCCCCCGTTGTGGAAGACCACCGGCACGCTCTTGGGCGTCTGGACCGCGATGTTGCAGGAGTGGCACAGCGCCCCCAGATACCGCCCGGTGCCGTGGCAGTGGTGGAGCTTCTTCGCAACGGTCGCGAACGACCTCAGGCACTCCCTGCAGTGACTGGCGCGCTCGTGGGCCAGCTCCTCCTCCAGGGTCAAGCGGGCCGGCAAGCACCGCCGCCTCCACTGCAGGTAGTGCGCGGCCAGCTTGAGGAGGTCGTCCAGCATGGTGCGCACCACGTGGAACTTGCCGCTGCCCCGCTCGTGGCGCGCGAGCCGCAGCCTCAGCTCCTCGGGCGGCTCGTAGCCGCAGCGCCCGACCGCCACGTAGCAGGAGGACGCCGCGGTGGTCTGGCGGGCGGGCTGCGCCTGGGCGACGTGCACCGGCGGGGCGGGCGTGCTGTAGACCTCCAGGTCCGCATAGCACACCAGAGGGGCGAGCTCGGCCGAGGCCTTGGGCTTGTACCGCAACAGGTGCTGGCGCTTCTCCGGATCCGGCAGCGGCACCTTCCGGGTGCGCTCGGCCACCTCTCGGTAGCACCAGCTGCTGCGGTGGCGCTGCCAGGAGGCCTTCTTCGTGAAGCGCGCCATGCACTTCGGGCACTTGTACTCCTTGCACCTCCGTTGCTCGGCGTGGCGCCCAGGGTCACTCCTTGTCTGCTGGCCAGCGCTTGGAAGTTGTGGATCAGCGCGAAGTGGCCCTGGTGGAGCAGCAGCAGCGCCGTGTGCTCGGCGGAGCCCTGGTTGGCCGGGGCCCGCTGCTGCAGGATGTGGAAGTACTCCTGCCCGTCCTGCCACTGGGTGCGCTGCCACGCGAAGACAAAGACCTCCACCCGGCCAGCATTCCGACGCTCGAAGGCGTCGATGTCCTCAAAGCCCACTGGGCGGTCAGTAGGCAAGCCGGAGAAGTCTAGCCCCGCGTCGGCCAGAGCGGGCTGCCAGCCGGCCGGGCGGCGCCCGGGGCGGCGGGCCTGCTCGGGGTAGAAGAAGGAGCCGGAGCAGGTTGCGGCCCTCTTCCGTTCCGCCAAGGTGAGCTTGTCGACCCCGAGGCAGTGAGCCAAGACGCACCACATGAAGCAGCGGTGGTCCGCGTTCCGGGGGTTCCAGACGGCCTTCTTCTTGGCCAGGCTCTCGGGCAGCTCCTTCCAGCAGCCGCCCGCCTCGTTCGGCGGCGGGGGCGCCGGGATCTCCCCCAGCTGCTGCGTGGGCGCCGTCAGCAGGTACGCGGCAGAGATGCCCACGAGGCGCCAGTTAGACTCCGGGAAGCGAGAGCGCTCGAGCGCCACCTCAAGCTTCGACCGGATGGCTGCCATCATGGCACCTGCGCGCGCGGCCGGCGACGCAGCAGGCCTCACGATCCAGCTTCAGGAAGTAGTGCTGGAAATCCAGGCCCCGCTGCTGGCCATCCCCGAAGGGATCCTGCGCCGGGCGGGACAGCAGCAGCTGGAAGCTGACCTTGGCGAGGAAGGGCAGCGGCACAGCCAGCATGTCCTGAAGCCGGTCCACCAGCAGCCGCATCGCGTCCACGGTGAACACGTCCTGCCCCGGCAGCGGGCGCAGCCGCAGCTCGCGGGTCCAAGCTGAGCCGCGCGGGCGCAGCACCGCCACGTCCGCCTCGGCTCGAGGGGCGCGGGGCTCCTCCAGAGGCACGGGGCGGAACGCCTGCAGCCACATGCGGCCCATCAGCCCCTCCAAGCGATCGGCAGCCAACATGGTCGCGAGCACGAATTGCTTTGAGCCAGAGATCCTAGAATATTTTCTTAACAAAGCCGGTCAAACACAAGTGGTCGGACGTCCAACGAGGCTGCAAACACGATTCTTTTAGCATCTGTCCAAGGTTTGTGGCTGGCTTCAGAGCTAGGTGAAACGTAATACTACCGCCGCAGGGCCTCAACGGTGTCTCCCTGCATGGCCAGCGAGGCGGTGAGCTCCCTGGAGGCCTCCTCCAGCTCCCTGCGGGCCTTCTCGACTCGATCGGCGGCCGCGGCAGTGGTGCTCTTGGCCGCCTCCATGATCGGCAGCCGCTCGGCGATCTTCTTGCCGACGAGCAGCCCCTCGACCTCCTGGAGCTCCTGGAGAACCTGCGCCAGCTGCGAGGGGTCCTTCGCTCGCTGGCGGCGCTTCAGCAGGGCCGCGTGCTTCTTGCGAAGCGCCTCCAAGGTCGGCCCCAAGGTCGGCTCCGCGGATGCCTGCGGCGCGGCCGCTTGCAGAGTCGACTTGCGGGCCCGCGTAAGCCTGCCCCGGAAGTTGGGGACCAGGCGGAGGGCCGACAGCGCGGGGTCCTCCTTGGGGTCGAGGTCGGTCAGGTCAAGCTCCGTGAGCTTGCTCAAGGCCTCCTCGCATTCGGAAGCCTCGAGGCGCTTGCGCCGGCGGACCAAGCGCTCGCAGAAGGCCACCGCATCGGCCGCCTTGCGCTTCCGGGCAGCCGCATCGGAAGGGGCAGCCACAGCAATCGAAGGCACCTCGGGAGGGCCGCCCGCGCCGGTAGGGGCAGCCGCATCAGGGGCAGCCGCGTCAACAGAAGGAACCTCGCGGGCGGCAGCGGCGGGCGCTGCCACAGCGGCATCCGAAGCCTCGGCTGCGGCAGCAGTTCCGGCAGCGTCGAGCTGCTTGCGCTTGTTGATGCGGTTGCGGAGCTTGGTCCTGTGAGATTTGACCTCGCTCCGCAACTTCTTGGCCTCTTCGAGGTCGGACTCCTCCAGGGGGACCTTCCCAGCCTGCCCGTCCTCGATGAGCCGGTCCAGGGTCGAAGATCCCTGCTTCAGCCGCCGGCGCAGGCGCTCCGCGTCCTCCAAAGGAGCGGCCCGCCCGAGAGAATCGGCCTCGCGGAGGGCCTCGCGCAGGGGCTCCAGCTGCTTGCGGTATTCCAGCAGCGCGTCAGCCATGGCCGCAAGAAGTGCTGCGGAGGGATTTCTCTATTGTTGATCTCGAACGGCTCGGTCGAGCAAGCTCCTTCACAAGTGGGTCAGGGGCGCCAACGAGGCGCAACCGTCAATCGCAGGAACAAACCAAAGATCCACCCCTCAAAAGAGGGTCAGGGCTGCCAACGAGACGCTGTGAAAGGGGGTTGCCAATGACCTCTAAGTCCTTGCCGTCCTCGCAAGGCACAAGCACTGCAATCCAGCTCACCACAAATGCCTTCGATTTTGGAGGTGGGCGACAATTTAAGAGTTGTTTTGAGAAGGAAAACTGCTGCTCAACTTCCCTGATCGCCACGCTCAACAAATAGCATCAAACACCTGTGCACAAGTTGGCTCAAAAAGATCAAACTGGCAAGCCACGAGAGCAGTTCTTTCCCCCACACTTCTTCAAACGGCTTGGTACTGCATCCGCGCGCTTTGGCACAGGGAGGAACGCCGCGGTGAAACAGCTGTTGACCAGCGCCAGCAACTGTTGCTGGTTCTGTACCCGTTGCAGGCATTCCCTGCTTGACTTGAACACCGAAGCCTGATGTTCAAAAGTGCGAACAGTTGCCTGCCTTACCCTTCAGGAGTCAAGCAAAGTCGCACTGCAACGAAACAACTGTGCCTGCGAACGCATGCTTTTGTCACTGTACGAGGTGAAACGTTGTGCGCCAGCATTGCCTCAGCCGAGAACAGTGACCACAGCCAGCAGTAGCCTGGCAACGATGCAAGTTCGCACGTGTGGAACACTGCTGGGTTGCTGAGGTGCCTCAAACTATGCGGCTCCAGCAGCTCCAGCTGGAATGGTGAATCCATAGCAGTCTGCCCTGACAGCTGGGCGACAGCACAACCCAAAATTGAAAGGCATCGGAACCAAGTGCTGGGCTCATCTGTCTCGCGCAGACTTGCTGACATCTTATCTTCTTTCACCCAGCCGCCGTCCTGCAAAGTCCAGCTGAGAGACGGCAATGGGGTGGGGTGTGGGGGATGGAACAAATGGGGGTGCGCTTTGACATGCAAAGCTCTCCTTCCGGCTGTAAACGTCGATCTTGAACGATGGAATCGAGAGCTCCGCCTTGTTCTTTATCCCCTGAAGCAATCAGAACTGAAAAGAATTGGAAAATTGCAAAGTAATTACCATGTACAGTCAAGCAAAAAGCAGAATGCAACTCGCTTCTGAGCACACGGCCTCTTTAAGATCATCCACCTGACATCCCCGCGAAGCATAAAGCGGCATTTCCGAAGGCAAAAACAAAGCTGACATAGATCCTTCGCAGGCGCAGCTGAGGCCGCTGCGTTTGCCGAAACTTCCTTAACTTGAAAGGGGTTGCCAATGACCTCGAAGTTCTTGCCGTCCTCATAAGGCACAAGCACTGCAATCCAGTTCACATCCATCCGTTTCACCGGTGGCTCCACAAACGCCTTTGATTTTGGAGCTAGGCGACAATTTGAGAGCTCTTCTGAGAAAGAAGTCGACAGCTTTTTTCAGAACATGAATGCAGGGCAAAACTGCTCACAGCTGCTGGTAAGGTCCAGGCAGGGCTTCCCAGCTGACAGACCCACACTGCTGGGGGTCGTTGCAGGGCGGCACTGCCTTGCAGGCGGCAATCTGAGCAACGGATGCGCCCGTTGGCTTTCACTCTCCCTGAAACTGATTAGGCTTCGAAATCAAGCTGTAATACATCCAACTAGAAAGCAACAATCCCATCCAAGGCCCAAGTACAACAAATGATGTGTAGGGCATTTGTCTGCCAGCGCCAATCGTTCTTCCAGCGCATGGATTTTGGGGGAAATCTCCTGTTTGTTTGAAAAGAACATGATCGGTCAGCTTTGCTTGCAGCTTTGCATTCAAGAGCATGTTTGCTTACAAGCGCCCCATGAACCATGAAACAACATGCAAATGCAAGACCAAAAGCGTCTGATGCCAATGGCTTAGAAAGAGTTGGCAAGGGCGCCGTTTTGGCAGGCTTGGTTCCTTGACCCATCGCAATGTCCTGACACTGCAAAAGGAAAGAAGGGCATCGCAAGAAAACAAACCATGTGGCACCCCGCGCAACGCTTGCCTTGCGCCAGTTGTAGCGCCATTTCCGCCTTTGACATTGCCTTGCTGGCCATTTTCATTGCTGCAGGCAGTGCAGCCTCTGATTGAAAGTAGACAACGTGCAGCATCTTGTTCTTGAGCAAGCCCAACACATTTTGAAGGCCAAGTCGATCAGCCAGCGATTCTGTATCGACTTGCAATGCTGCTCGGTTGAAAACGATTGCAAAGCCTGTGGTATCCGGCTGAAGCTTAACTGGCTCCAATTGTCCTGCATCGTCACGTGCTAAGAATCCCTTGCGTGCAACAAGGCAGCTCTGGATCTCAATCTGATAAAGCTTCATTGCAACATAGCGGCTGTCGGAACAGATTTCCACAAGCACTCTCTGAACGTTTGCGCACGTAGCACTGACCTTGACTTCGCTTAGCCCCTGGATCTTTGCAGCAAAGTTCTCGAAAGAACCATCGTAGAATGCGTCGACTTCAGCTTCCTCCTCCCCGACACCCCTTGATCTCATTCCGTCCCCAATGTGGTCGGAGACTGTTTCTTGCAGAAAGCGCGCAACAGTCTCCCTGCATGTCTCCAAACGCTGCCGCTCCTTTGGGTCTTGAGGTTCGATCTTAAGGAGCATCCGAGGACCACCACATTCAAAAATGCGGGATATCATACCTTCATAGTCTCCACCGCTGATCTGACTGACACTTGAGAAGGGTTTGGGCCGTCCGTCCTCACCAACTAAACAATACGTTTCGTCAAGTTGTCGTTCCCGTGCTGGCTTTCCTGCGGCACGGCATCCTGAAAATGCCAGTGTTTGCTGCGGTGGAAATGCAGAAGGCTGCCCAAATGTCGCAGGAGGCGCAACAAAAGGCCCAGGCGACCACCACCCAGGATGCGCATTTTGCGGAACAGGTTCCGCATGGTATGCTACGAGTCGCCCATACCGCCACTCCATGGCAAGGCTTCAATGATAGAAAATGAATCTGTGTGACCATGCTGCTGGGTTTCAATATGCATCGAACGTGTCTGGATCAAGCTGCGCTCAATGCCGTGCACATGCATGTGTTAAGGATTGAATTGTTTGACATCAACTCTCCTCTGCTGCCAGCCGGGTGGGGAAAAAAGGTTCACTGCGCCATCTGCTTAGGACAACTTGAGATGTCGCACTGCATTCCAGTGGAAAACTACTCAAGTTGGACGGCACTACAGAGAAAGCAAAACTGCAAGTGACCACAGCCAGCAGTAGCCTGTCAACGATGCAAGTTCACAAGTGTAGAACACCGCTGCGCCGCTGAGGTGCCTCAAACTATGCGACTCCAGCAATTCCAGCTGGTAACGTGACAAACTATGTCACCGATTTGTGGAAATTTGCCGCCAACCAAGAGCTTCACAGCAAGCCGCACTGCAACGAAACAACTGTGCCTGCGACTGCACTTTTTTGTTCCTGTAAGAGGTGAAACGTTGTGGGCCAGCATTGCCTCAGCCGAGAACAGTGACCACAGCCAGCAGTAGCCTATTAACGACGCAAGCTCACAAGTGTAGAAGACTGCTGCGCTGAGGCAGGTGCCTCAAACTATGTGGCTCCAGCAGCTCCAGCTGGCAACATGAATCCGTAGCAGTCTGCCCTGACAGCTGGGCGACGGCACAACCCAAAGTTGAAAGGCATCGGAACCAAGTGCTGGGCTCATCTGTGTTGCGCAGACTTGATGACATCCTTGTTTCCTTGACCCAGCGGCCGTCCTGCAAAGTCCAGCTGAGAGACGGCAATGGGGTGGGGTGTGGGGGATGGAACAAATGGGGTGCGCTTTGACATGCAAAGCTCTCCTTCCGGCGGTAAATGTCCATTTGATAGGCATCGCAGGATACAGTATTTGGGTTCTTCTGCTTGATGGCCTCAAGCAACGCTCAGAGTTGAAATCATTCAAACCCTCCATCTTTGTCATCGCCCTTCTGCAAACAGCTCGCAAGACGGTATGAGCGAAATTCGGCTTGAGGGCAGCACTTCCTTCAAGTATGCCTGCCAACATTGAAGCTAAGACGCACAGCATCCTCCAAGTTCAAGTTCACACAAAAAGTGATCAAAATGCATTCAACAAATACATGGCAGGGGTGCTATGTTTTGCGGCACTGGGTCGATTGGAAAAGCATTGCCAGCGGGCTGGAAGCCGCCACTGCCCTGCAAGGTCAGGGAGCCAGGGCAAAGAAAAAAAACACAACATCTCCATTGAATATTGAAGGTGGGCGACAATTTGAGAGCTCTTCTGAGAAGGAAGTCGACAGCTTTTTTCCGAACATGAATGCAGGGCAAAACTGCTCACAGCTGCTGGTAAGGTCCAGGCAGGGCTTCCCAGCTGACAGACCCACACTGCTGGGGGTCGTTGCGGGGCGGCACTGCCTTGCAGGCGGCAATCTGAGCAACGGATGCGCCCGTTGGCTTTCACTCTCCCTGAAACTGATTAGGCTTCGAAATCAAGCTGTAATACATCCAACTAGAAAGCAACAATCCCATCCAAGGCCCAAGTACAACAAATGATGTGTAGGGCATTAGTCTCATGGATTTTGGGGGAAATCTCCTGTTTGTTTGAAAAGAACATGATCGGTCAGCTTTGCTTGCAGCTTTGCATTCAAGAGCATGTTTGCTTACAAGCGCCCCATGAACCATGAAACAACATGCAAATGCAAGACCAAAAGCGTCTGATGCCAATGGCTTAGAAAGAGTTGGCAAGGGCGCCGTTTTGGCAGGCTTGGTTCCTTGACCCATCGCAATGTCCTGACACTGCCGAAGAAAAGAAGGGCATCGCAAGAAAACAAACCATGTGGCACCCCGCGCAACGCTTGCCTCGCGCCAGTTGTAGCGCCATTTCCGCCTTTGAAATTGCCTTGCTGGCCATTTCCAATGCTGCAGGCAGTGCAGCCTCTGATTGAAAGTAGACAACGTGCAGCATCTTGTTCTTGAGCAAGCCCAACACATTTTGAAGGCCAAGTCGATCAGCCAGCGATTCTGTATCGACTTGCAATGCTGCTCGGTTGAAACCGATCGCAAAGCCTGTGGTATCGGACCTTCGACCCAAGGCAGGGGAGGGTGCGGCCGACTACGTGCTACTGCAGAACGGGCAGCGGGGCCTAGTGCGGGAGGACGGCACCTACCAGCTGACGAACCTAGGGAGGCGGTTCTTCAAGAACAAGTACTCGCAGCACGTAGCACACATCCCAGTGGTCATCAGGGGGATGCGGCGGGCCGGCAAAAACGCGGGCCGGGCTTACGAGCGCAGGGACTGGCTCCCCGCAAATGTCCTGGGTGGGGAGGCCAGCCGGCAGCCCGACAGGCTGTCGGAGCAGCAAATACTGCAAAACGTCAAGCAGGAGACGCTGCGGCTGATAACCGCGGGGGACGAGGACCGCGCCGCCGGCAGGGCGCCCATCATGGAACTCAGCGACGAGACGTACTTCTACGACCCGGAGGGGGAGTGGGTGGTGTCCTCGGAGACGACGCAATACCGGAACAGCCGCGTACACGTAGAAACCATCCTGCGGCAGAGGCTGCGAGGCCTGCGCCGCGTGTCGTACCAACTGCCGTGCTTCAACAGTATCCTGGAATGCGCATTCGAGGATTCCGGGGACAATGCCTGCGTGCCGCGGCAGCTGGCTCAACTCTTGGGCGTGCCCTTCGAGGAGGTCTGCGGAGACTTCGACGCCCTTGCAGAGCACGACTGGCGCGCGCACGGCATCTCGCCGGTGGAGATACGAGCCTTCTGCGCGTGGCGCAACGCGCCCATGGTCCTCATCTCCAACACAGGCGAGCCCCTGGACCGCTTCGAGCCCGCGCAGCGGGAGACCAAGACCGTGGTGTTCACCTACTACGACGGGCACGCCTTCTTCTACCGGAACGCCCGGCCGGTGCTGGAGCAGATGGGCTGCGCGCTGGTCATGTACCGGCGCGACCCGAAGCAGACCGTGCCGCCGCTGGAGGAGTGGAGCCCGTGGCAGGGCGAGATCAAGCCGGGCCACTTCCACACGACGGACCTACGGGAGACGAGGCGGCAGCTGCTGCTCGCGGAGCACAACCCGCAGGTCACGCTCCGCTCGCTCGCGCAGTTCTCAAGCTGCGCGCCAAGGGCGGGCAGTGCGTGATCCGTGAGCTGCCCGAGGACTGGGAGCTGCTGCAGGCATGGGCCAAGGGGCTGGGGCTGCACTACCGCGGGCAGAGGCTGGCCTCGCTGAGCTTCGAGGCTTTCTCCACGCTGGTCAAGGCGCCGAGGATCACCCCGAGCCAGCGGCAGAAGAAGCTGCTGCTGGCCGAGCAGGGAGGCAAGTGCGCCGCCTGCGGGCAGCAGATCGGCGCCGGGTGCGCGGAGTTCAACCACATCGTGCCGGTGCGGCAGGCCTTCGCCGGGCAGCAGCAGCGCTTCCAGGCGCTCTGCTTTGAGTGCCACCAGATGAAGACCCAGACCGAAAGCATGCAGCCCACGTCGCTGGAGTCGCGGTTCACGCGCTCGGTCTACGACGCGTACGTACGCTCTCCCAAGCAGCCTCCGTTAGTGTTCCAGGCGCGGGCCCCGGGCAGCGGACCGCTCGAAGGCGTGGACGTGGTGCGCTGCCGCAGGAACGGGCTGGCCAACGCACCGTTCCCACTGCCCATCTTCTGCCCGGCCGACAACATCGAGCCGGCGCGGCCCGGGCACCTCGCAGACCTCTCGTTTGTGGACCTGCAAAATCGGGGGCGCGATGCCCCCGTGACGCTGCTGCCCTACGTGGGGCCGGGCTGGTACCCGAAGGTCTCGCTGGACTACATGCTGCGCTGCGGCGTGGCGCAGTGGTCCGACGTGCTCCACACGATGAACGCGGCCAGCCACGTCACCGCGGAGTGCCTGGCGCCGGCGCTGGACGTCATGGAGCAGGCCTGGCCCGAGGGCGAAGAACATATGGCAAAGCTTGCAGTGAACTCGATGATCGGGCTCATGGCGCACGACAGCAACAAGGCGTACACGCTGCGCAGCAGCAGCAACGAGCTGGACGCGACAGGGGCCGACACCAGGCAGGTATTCTACGTCGGCGAAGGCCGGTACGTGTGGGACTTCATCACCACCCGCTCAATCCACAACACCGGGACGCTGCGCCCCATCCACGACTGCGTGCTCGGCTTCGAGGCGACGATGGTGGCACGCATCCGACGAGAACTGGGCCTTCCGCCAAAGTACATCAAGCAGGTGAAAACGGACTGCGTGGTGCTGCAGGGCATGCCGCGGAAGTTCCGAGACAACTTGGAGCGGCTCGTCCACAACACGTACCCAGACGGTAAGCCCAAATTCCGCCACGAGGAGACGACGAAGCCGCTGCGAGGCAAGCACGCGCCGCCCTGCATGCAGGCGGAGCCGCCAGCAAGGGCCGCCGGCTGGACGGACGTGGCCGACCCTGTGGCGCACTGCCTGGCCGGCCGATCGCTCCTGCTCACCGGGCTGCCCGGCACAGGCAAGACGCACCTGGCGCGGACCATCGTGACCAAGCTGCGGGAGCGCGGTGAGGTAGTGCACCTCATCAGCAAGACTCACAGCGCCGTGCAGAACCTGGGCGCCGGCGCGAAGACGGCCGACCACTGGGTGCGCAAGTACGTGCGGGGGGCCAGCGTGCAGCGCCTGGACTGGCTGCTGGTGGAAGAGGTCACGCAGTTCGACATGGGCCTGTGGGCGGACATCGCGTGCGTGTCCCTGAACCACGACGTGCGGTTCCTGCTGGTGGGCGACTTCCGGCAGCTCCCGGCCGTGCTGGACACCTGGGCCGGCACGCCCGTCAACAAGCCGCTGCGACACAGCCAGCTGATGCTGGACCTTGCGGGCGGCTGGCGGCACGAGCTGACGGAGAACAAGCGCAGCGACGCGCGCATCTTCGACCTCGTGCGGAGCCTACGTGTGGATGAGCCGGACGAAATGCCCCTAGAGGAAGCTTTGCAGACGGCGCGACGGCTCTTTCCGCGCAAGCCAGGCGT